ATCTGCTGACAACTGTCCAAGTAATTCCAGTAGTTGTCCTTTCAAGCTCATTGCCAGATGTACTGCTTTCTGCTCCTCTGTCCATCCACTTATCTCTGCCAGTAGCTCAATATGCTTCCCACGGTGCTTTCCCATCGTATTCTTGTAGCTTCCTTCTTAATGAATCACTCCTAGTACTGACATTCATATCTGGGATGTGACATCTAACGGGACTAAATATGTCAGCATTAGGGTTTAGCTGCGTGGTCTGGAAGGGGCTTGCCATTGTCAGGGGCTGATTAAGTCGATGGTTAATGTATCCTCCTTGTGTAAAAGACAATAGATCATCCTTTAATGTATCTAATTCTCTTTTAACTTTACTAATGTTTTCTGTTTGTACTTCTTGTTTCCTTTCTTGTTCCAGTTGCCACTGTTGTAGTCTCTCTTCTTGTTTCTTTTTATTTTCCTCCAACCACTGCTGTAGTCTCTCTTCTGGTTTATTTTCTATCTCCTCCAACCACTGCTATAGTCTCTTATCTGGTTTATTTTCTTTCTCCTCCAACCACTGCTGTAGTCTCTCTTGTTTATTTTGCTGTTCGAGCTGCCATTGTTGTAGGTTTTCGTGCCACTTCTGTAATCTTTCTTCTTGTTTCTTTTCTTTTTCCTCCAACAACTGTTCACGGAAAATTAACTAACGAACAGATGTAACAAATTGGTGTCAGAGGGTGGGAAACGAGAAGCGGCAAATCAAACTACAGCTTAGCAGATTTGATGGCAGCAAAAGAAACAAGAAGAATGAGAAAAGAAACAAGAGAAATTACAGCAGTTGTTAGAGGAAAAGAAAAAGAAACAAGAAGAACGAGAAAATAAACAAGAAAAGAAACAAGAAGAGAGATTACAACAGTTGTTGGAGGAAAAATAAAAGAAACAAGAAGAGAATTTACAGTTCATTCCGACGAAACTTTAGCAACCTAAGTCCTTTCTTAAATAAAACTGGTTTATTCTTTCTGAATTTAACTTTGTGATACACTTAATTTCAACAGTCGCGCTATAACAACGAATGTGCTCAACTTCAATAATACTCAGTTCAATTACACACTCTGACTGCAGTTCAATTACTCACTGTGTCGTCACGTTGTGACCATCTTATATATACCAATCTAGTAGTCTCCCGATAATTCACGAAGGTTCGAGAAGTACGTGGCATGATACTAGTCACGTGACCTCGCTTACAGTATGATAAAACAAATTTTAATAAAACAAATAGTGAAATAATTTTGTAAACATAATAATAAGATGAAATTAAAAATCTTATAAACAAAAATTAAAAATTGATATTTTCTATAGAGGAATTCAATGAGATAGTGTTTATTTACCAAGCAGGAATCATCTTAGTAATAACTTATTGGATGAATACATCACTTCAACCTCACAGTTATTAGAGGCATGGATTTCCAAAAATACAAAAATGTTTGGTATAGAATTTTAATGTTTTTTCTCACATTCATCCTAATTGGTCCATTTGGAATTCAAAATTATTGTCAGGTAATTAAGAGGAATCTGTAAAAAAAAACATCAACTGTATACATAATTTTTATCACAAATTGTAGGCCTTTTGGTCTAATACTTAACTAGTTTTCAGTGGTTAAATGATTACAAGAATGTGTGATTTAAGGTAGTTTGATCTGACTGTTGTATCTATAGAAGTACATAATTAACAGCTAAAAATATGTTTAGTATTTAAATTCACAAAAATTAAATTAAATTTGTTAGTGGCTAAGTAATTACAGAATTAACAACTAAAATATGTTAAACAGGTAAGGTTATAAAAGTTAAATTATATTTGTCAGTGGCTTAGTATTTTCAGGTTGGTTATACAACTTGCTGTAGCTTGTTCTTCTGTTGGGTGTGTTCTTTTGGATTACGCAGTAAAACTAGTTTGATATTTAATCCACTTAATGATAGTGAATTAATTTCTTTCTTCTACAACATTTTATACATGGTAAAAGCTACAATCCCTGATAGGCCTAACTTCACAAACGTTTCAACAGGAATTCCAAAGATAATGTGCTTTTAACTCACAAGCAAAGCTCATGTCACTTACTTTGTAAAAATTCTTTGCTAATTGATTGATAACAAACATACTTACTGATTCATTGACTAACTTACTAACTCAGTCACTGACAAACAGACTCACTAAAACTTTAACACTGAACTGATTGATTAACTTAACTCACTCAGTCTGGCATTTTTATATATATTGTACTAGTTTTTTACATATTACAGATAGGCTTGCAAACTTTTTGAAGTACAATTCCAGGAGATAGATACCATGCCCACCTGTCACATCCTCTCTTTCATTAATTACTAACAGTTCTCTCTGACATCTTATACTATGTTATTTATAGCCAATAGAAAGCCAACTTTTTAATCTGTCAAATTACATTTTATATTATGTTGCTTTCTGTACAAAAAGTTGTATATTTCACCTCCAGTTTGAAAATTTTTGTCACGTGAATCACATCAACCAGCTTAATTTTTAATGGCTCTTATCCCAAATTTAGAAGGCCAGAAAAATTATAATAGTTATAGGATATTGTTTCCTTTATGTGTATTATTGCCTATATTTTTAGATGCACTATTTAATTAAAGAAAAATTTAGTGTAGTAGTATCATTGGTATAAAAATGTAGGCTTAATTATTGTTGACAGCAAACAAAAAGGGGATCAAAGTAAGTGTATATTTCTTATTCTTCATGTGTATTCCATATTTATTATTATAAAAGTAATTAAAATATATAACTTAGAAATTTATTAGTTTACATTAGGTGAGATAATGAAAAATAATAAAGATTTGTCATGAAGTTTGTTCATGTTCAACTTGTATGTTACACAATTCGATAGAGTAATGTGAGCTGCATGTTTGCTGAGTGACACCAAAGTTTTTCATTTGCAAACAGCAAAAATGTGAAGAAGCTTTGTTTTTTTCCTTTTTTTCTGTTATTTGTTTTGAGAATCCAGGAGATTTGTCAAGCAATCCTGGAACTAGGAGAATATATATGATTCAGGGAAACTCCAGGCAAATCTGGGACGGTTGACAAGCCTAATTTCAGATTCCACAGAGGCCCAAATTTCTTGAAACTTCTAAGACTTCACACAATCATTATGTTATGTAAAAGGCTCCCTCTAGTGAACAAAACATTAAAATATTAAAAATATAGTGTACAACAATATGTATTTTGCCCTAATATCTGGTATTACATTACAGATAAATGTCCAATACTGTTCACAAGTTTCTAATAAATGTACAGTGAATACTGTAATGTGAACAATCTGAAGAATGCATCAAAAACCTGAAGATCAGGTCTTATTTTACTTATGTTTCAGCTTAATGTATTCTTCTACGTAACTAACATTAGTAGGATTGAAATGTGGATGGAGTGGTGACAAGATATTCTTGCCCCAGGGCTTTTTTATAAGCATGCATACATCACAGATTATTCTTTAAGGTTTATAGTTTCAATCATTCTAAATGTGATTATCTGTGTTATTAGGCAGCTGTTTACCTAGGTCATCCAAGTGTGTAATGCCTGTTCACAGCTATTTAGCAAGAGCCATTTTTCATTTAGCTTAACATGTAATAAAGTGTGGATCAACTATGCATTGATAACCTGTATCATTGACTTAACTGGGTGAAAGAGAGCTGACATTGCAAAAAAAGTGTAGTTTTCAGCTGTTTGTTACCTGAATATTATTATTTTTATATAAATTAATTATCTATATTATTTTTGTTTTTTCATTAAATTGTTGAAAAACCTTAACTTCATTCATATATTTGTGTTAGTATATATATGACTCCATTGTGTATTTTAACACACTGTATTGCTTTTTAGAACAGGTTCATGATGGGCTTAGGACTGGTGGCAATAACTGGTTGTTTGACTTATATCGGATACTTGAATTGGGTAACTACAAAAGGCTCGGAGCACAATTATATTGCTGTAACAGAAGATGGTACAAAATACATACGCCCAAGAATTTCGAAATGGGAATGATTAGTTAACTTCATTGACACATTTGTGATAGTAGAAATAACTCCATTGTGTATTCTAACACTGTATTGCTTTTTAGAACAAGTATGTGATGAGCTTAGGACTGGTGGCAATAATTTATAATGGATATTTGAATTGGGTAACTACAAAAGACTCGGAGAAAAATATATCGCTGCAACAGAGAATGGTACAAAATACATATACTAAAGAATTTCAAAATGGGAATGATTAGTTGACCTCAACTGTTAACTGTAACATAGTACATAATTTTTATAACTAGAATAAAAATATTTATTTATGGTTATGTATGATATAGCCAGTTTTATGTGATGTATCATTTTGTATTAATCTAAATATGACCTTAAAATGAAATGCTGTACAACACTAAGATAAAAAGTGATATAAATTTTGTTTCCTGATTATAATCATGTTTCCATCAATTTTGTGATAAAGGACATCATTTGAATGCATTTTTTTCTTTTAGCTAATTACTCACTGATTTTTATTATTGGAATGCAAAATATTTTAAAACCAAAACTCATGTACAGTATAAAAATAATTGCACATTAAACATGTAACTTTGAATTTAAATAGGTAAGTAATTACTTTCATAATCTGAATGGTAATGAGGCTAGTCAATAAATTCTAATTAAATATACTAAAAACATTTTATTCTAATGTGACAGTTTTAAAAACTACCTTTTTATTAGGCAGCTGAGAATTAATGTTTGTTCATTAATTTTCAGTGAGAGCCATTTCTCATGTAGCTTAACTCGTAGTAGCACATGAACTGAAAAAGGTAGCAGAAAGGTGGAAAAGATAACATACAAACTCAGCAATTATTGCTTCAAAAAGAGTAATGTCCTTGAAAAATTAAATATCTTGTTGTGGAAAGTTAGTGTTTTTTGTACTGTTATTAGTGCACAAGTATAGGAGATACACAATATAGAAGCAGTAATATTAATAGTAATTCTGCAAGAATATTAAATTATAATGCACTAGATTTTCTTTAAAAATACATTTTCTGCTCTTCCTCACCCTGCATAATACAAGTAGAAATGCTACACCATTTAAAAATAGTGCAACACAACAATGAATCTTCACCTTACCTAATGGAAAAAAAAAAAAAAAAGTGAGTCGTTTTGGAACAAAATATATTAACATGTGATATCCTATCACAGTGCTCCTTGCTGCAAATATCAGCATCATCCACCAAGAGATAGTGTTACATGATTGACCTCAAAAGTTGTATCTTTCAGCACAGGGATCATAACTTTTCTTTGGAACTTCAACCTTCAAACTCTGAAGCCTGGAGGAAGCTCTTTGAATTTATTAGTATAATTTTTTTAAACATATTTTTTCATTATGGAATATGTGTTAAAAACATGGAAAAGTAATTTCCCATGTGGCATTTGTTAAGCATAGATTTCAACAAATATATTAATTTTGAAAATTCGTTTTTCACCTATGCATATAACATGGTTGTTTTAATTTTTCTTATTAATTCCTCCTCTTGGGATTAAACCTAAGATCTCTCATACATGAGAGGAATGCTTTACCAATAGAGTTAAATGATTAACTAGTAGGCCACTCTTTGCCACTCAAATTACTGCATTCTTCTCCTCTCACACATAAGGCCTATCCTTGGACTTTACTTATCCCAGGGTTGTGAGATGACCATTAGTTGGGTGCCAACTTTACTGTGTTAAATCTTTTATCTTCACATCAGATTCGAACCCATACCTACTCGTACTATAAGTGATTTCTCTGCCAAATGCATCCTTTAGCAATTCACAGTACCATAATAGTACATTATCAATTCACAACTCAATTTACCAAATAACAATGTTGTGTAAATATGTTTATAAGATGTTTTACACCAGAAGATTATTTGTATAATTATGGTTGTTTTCTCTATTTATTGAAACAAGTATTTTTTTTAATTCAGTTTATTTTTCAAGCAAAACAAACTACAATTCTTTTCTGACAGTAAAATATTTCTAATATTCTTTATAAATTACAAATTCATTTCCTTAACTGAAGTTATTCTAATCAACAGTAGTGTGACAGTAAGAGCACTTGAAGGATAACTGTAGCAGCGAGTAACAGGAAACTCCGGAAGACCTGGTGAACTTGCCTTGACAGTCTTCTTCTTTGGAGTGGAAGAAGGATCCTGTATTTAAAAAGAATAAATACTATAAAAAACATCTCAATGGGGATTTTCTAAACAGATAATTATACGATGGAAAAACATCAAGAAGAAATTCCCAAAACAGATTTCACTTGACTTTTTTGGGTTAAGTGCATTGAATCTCAGTCACAAAAAATATTTAGTAGAAAATCTTGTATTATTTGTTTAAAACTACCATAATGCCACATATCTATTAAGTAAAATGTTAATAGCAAGAAATTATATATTATTGACTTTACAAAATAAAGTCCTGTCTCACATAGTAAATCCACTTTATGATAAAACATGTTCTTTAATTCTGATACAATATCTTACCTCTTCTCTCATTCAGTACTGCCCTCTATATGCGCAAATTTTTTCGCTTGCCACTAGCCTTGAAACTCCCATCTACCCCACATTCAAAATGGTTCTGTTTAATTTGGTGAATTGAACTGTGTTGAACCATGAATTCAGAATTTCATATCATGACTATTGCTAGCTTGACTAATGCTACTTCGAATGTCATTCTCAGACTTCAGGTTCTACAGTTTCAGCTGAGGAGGTCTCAGCCTTAGTTTGATGGGAGCTTGAACACTATGAGACAACTGGTTTCTGGAAGGTCATGAGGATGAGGATTTAGAGAGCCTTTTTCCTTCTCCTATGTCGTTTAATCCCATGTGTCACCTGTGGATGCTCCCAGGCCTCCCCTCAGCCTTTTTAGACATGATTTCACAGATATGTTACATTTTGTTTGTGTCACCTATCTCATATGACCTTACACCTCCCCTTTTACAAATGGCTCCTTCATCATAATACCTTGTTTTCCCCATTTCTGGATATTAGGATCCATGCTTTCCATTTCCAAGGCACAATTAAGTACAGGATCCAGCATACATCATCCTCCTAGATTTTCATATCTTTCTGCTTTGACTTATAACCAAGCAAACTTTCCTTTTCTAGACTCACAACACTTCAAATCTTTGGAAATGTGGGAGGCCAACCCCGATTCTCTGGTTAGGTTCTCCTAGGCCCAATTTTCCAGACTCTGGCTGATCCTGATCTCTACCTTAGGTACCTGTCTACCATGCAACTCCTGCCTGAGATTATCCACCAATCCCCTGAGGATTTTTCGGGGAAGACATTCACCCTCATACTTTCCTCCAAATGTGGCTTTTCTGCTGCTGGGATCTCCTAGGTAGGGATGCATTTTTGTCTCAGGTGTGCCCACCCATTAATTTCCTGTGTGCTTCTTGTGGGGCACCTTTTTCATGCAGATCTAATTTTGGGGACGTCTCCAGAGCCACATTCCTCCATTTCTTCTTTGGTTTCTAGGTTGTCCCAGCCTTTCACCTGCCCCTGCTTCCACTCCCATTTCCCATCCCAACCTTTACCTGTTCCTCTATAAATGACTTCACTGGTGAGTTGTCACATTTCACACCATAGAAACACACACCACCAATGGTACTGGAGACTGTCTGGTGGGTTCTGTCCTCATTTATTCACTTGCAATCCTTGGGTTCTTCAGGTGTTGTCCAAAGGACTCATCATCTACTCCCCCCCTCCCCCCATGTAGTATTCATTTTATCTTATTCCATTTGCCCTTCCTCACTCATGGTTTATCAGAGAAGATGGCAGACTTTTCACTGATGGTCTCTGTGCCATGGGTTCTGTCCTTCCTTCCTGACTGTGCCTCACATTACAGAATTCCTTATCTGGCTGTTTGATTATAGCTCATCAGTATCTTTTATTGCAGGATGATATTCAGCAGACTTATCTAACATCTTCTGTTTTACCAGATCCTGCAAAGTGTTTTCCTCTCCCATCATTTTCCTATTGTTGCATTTCTTTCGGACTGATTGTCCTCCTTGCCCTACTGTACTACCAGATTGGGATATTAATTTTATTCTTCACACCCATATCCTTCCTTTCTTTGAACCCTTGGCTACCTGTTCTCTCTACTATCTTTCCCTTAAACCCTACTTCCTACTCCTTTTGGCCTGTGGACATCAGAGGTCTGAAATATTCACCATCAACGTTTACCACCACACCTATGTTCTCCTTTATTTGGATTGTACTTTCTTTCTCAAAAATTACCAGCTCATGAGGGCAACTCTTCCTTTATGCTGATTTCCCTCCCCTGCATTTCACATTTCTACTCCTGTTAAGATCTGGATAAACTTCTATGTCCAGTTTATGCTCTTCATTGTTATATTGCCAGCACAGCTCCCTTTTGTCAGTCTCACTTTCAGTTATTCATTCCCAGGAACCTATCCTCTCACCAAAACCTTTTACCTTCTACCCTCAAAGGGCTGGATTTGTCAACTTATAAGGCTGGCATATACATCCTTATCTCCCGATTTCCAGTGTTTTTTCCAGGTGTCATTGCACCAGATTTGACACCTTACCTAATCCCTGGCAGCTCCTCTTCATCATCCATTAGAAGAGATCGTCCAGTTAGGTATGTGGACCACACAAAACGTTAATCTCCCATCACCTACACCATGTGTTCATTTCTTCCTCATCCAGATATCATTTTCCACCTGTTGCCATTCTACACACAGTGATTCAATTTTTATTTCTCTCCCTTTTTCCCCCTACAGAATCACGTCCCTTATAGGTGGTGGATCCCACTCATTAGCCAAAAAAAAATTAGAGTATATATTTACTGTCTGGGGTACCACATGTGCACCATCCCTGATGGGTTGTGACCTGGAAGCTGGTGTAGCAAGGATCTGGACCAGGTAAGTGGTTGGCTGGGATGCCCCACCAGTGAAAATCAGGGGCTGGACCTACCAATATATACGTACAAGTAATAAAAATTTAGGATGATGTAGGGATGGCAATGCCAGTAAAGTACAGAAATGAAGTAGGGATAAATATACAAAACCATACAAAAACCCCTACATAAGTAGCCAAATCTTTCCATGAAAAACTTATCTACAACTAAATGTTGAAATCCTTTTTTTTGCATGAATTCAGGTTTGAATAAAAACATTTAAACTGATTAATGCTATAAAGTCTTACAATAGCTAATCCCCCTAAGCTTGTAACATTGACTCAGTGGCTATGTAGGTAAGGAATTTTGTATGCTTTTGTGTATTCATCCCACCTTGTTTCTCTACTTTTTTTTTTTGGCATTGCCATCCCTACATCATCCTTAGTTTTTCCAAAATTTTGTTATTACTTGTTTCCCCCTTTTCTTAAACAATCAGTGTTAATGTATGGCAGTTTCTATGAAGGCAGCAGTTTTAGCTT